TACATCTTTAAATGACACAAAATGCCCACTTTTGATTGATCATTAACTACTGGGGAAATGTCAACTTTTTGGTACATTATTAAATTAAGGAAAATCAATAACAATAGATGTATCATTAACAGATAGAAATATTGTCTTTCATCATTAATAGAATTGCCATAGTCACTAATGAAACACAGACAATGTCCTGGGTTTTGTCATCCCTCACTGACTGTTGTGTAACATTAGGTTTTATCACTCAGAGCAGGATTTTAGGAGCTTCTTTGTGCACTTTTATTTTTTATTAAGGATCAATATGTTGACTATTTTCTTGTCTGGTTTGTAAAAGAAAAGAAAAAAACAAAAACCAGTGATTCTAAAGTGACGCCTTCACAACACGTGTCGAGCTTCAGACCTGTTAAACACAGTGAATAATGACAGGTTTTGCTGCTTCTAGGCGGGCCGGTGTGCAACACCACATGGGACGGATGGCTGTGTTGGGACGAAGCTGAAGCCGGACTCACCGAGCAGAGCTGTCCAGATTATTACAACGACTTCGACCCTCACGGTGAATCTCCCTGATTTTTATAACGAACTCTGATTAAGCTCCACTAACTTGATTCAACCTTTAATGTCCAGTTTATCGCTCACTTTCAAACATTCCATGTATAATTAACCAAATCGGGTTTAAAGTTGCCCCTTGACCTCCTCAGAATCATCGACAATAACTTTATTTAATGAGGCCATGCAACGCTTTACTGTGAATATTTTAGGGGTTACAGCCCATATAGCCTACAGTTATTTCTGTTAGAGCTCAAATTTTCTCTCAAGTTTTGGTCAAATATGACTAATATTTAACTCGACATCGATGCTTTCATTGTCTAGAACTTGTTCTGACCAACCCCCATCACACATGTTGATATGAGCCTGGATCCACTTTTTAAAGTTTATCTGGTGAATGATCAGAAAACACATCCAATGACCGTTTCTATGACTCTAGACATGAACCTGCTGCACTTTGACTGCTCAAACTACGATACATCCCATAATATTGATGCTCTAATTTGGTTATAAAGCTTATTTCAAATGTTGGGAGTCATTTTTTGTTCAAACTCATTTGTGTTAGAAGAATTCTGGATTGTTTTGTGAGTTTGGTGGATTTTTTTTTTTTTAGGCTTTTAGGACAAATAATGAGTCACTTCGATCATGTTTTTGAGTTATTGTGTTTTTTATATTTTAGAAAAGCTCTGATGAGTTTGGAGTCGTAGGTAGTTTAGACAATGTTTAAGTCATTTAGGGGAACATTGAGGGTATTTTGGACACATTTTTAAATTCATTTTGGACAAATTCGAAAACTTTTTTGGCCAAACTGAAACAGAAAACCCAGCCAGGGGACCAGAACTGGTTTCTCTGACTTCCTGTCGTGCCGTTTTGCTGTTGGAACTGAGATGATACTGATGCAGAACAACAACCTATTTAGACCGTGACACTTGGAGTGGATGTAAAACATATTTGGTTGCACTCAGTTGTGTTTTTCACCACTGAAAGGTTCACAAGTTTCTCTGCTGTACTGATGAAGCTATGAGGCAACTAAAGCGCTGGACCCTCCTCTGTGTACTTCCTGGTCTGTAAGTCTGAAAATATTCAAAGTATGAAGGTGAAACTTTGCGTGACTTCATTAAATATGCTAAGTTAGAAACAGCTGATCTGAGGAGGTCAAAGTGGTCGATTTTTCATTGAATCATCCAAACACAATCCTCATCCTGAAATAAAAACACACCACTGATGATGTCACTGATGTTACACTGAATCCCAGCCATGAACACAAAAGTCTCTCAAATGTGCCCGAAATCAACAGAAACCTCATTTAAAGTCAGAAAAATCGAATGTTTTCCAAGATCTTGATGGCGTGTGAGTGTTCAGAGGAGATTTGTAGAAACAAAGACTTGCTTTTGAACGTCCACCAGAGGAATTTGAACCCCCTTTATCCGAGCTGCTCCTGGATCAGCTCCGGACATGTCAGTAAATCCAGCTGGTTCTCAGATCAAAGGCGGCTCTGTTTGCTTTCATATATACAGCAAAGACGAGCAGAACCCGGGCCAGACTTCCAGTTTTCTGTTCTTCTGTCTTCCCTCTGCTCACCTCCACGTTGCCTTTGTTTGGTTTCCTCAGCTCACAGGTGTGCTGGGTTTAGCCCCGCCCCTTCCTCACCTGTCCAGTTTGGTTAAAGGAGCATTCTGTGCAATGTCGCATCAGTGCATTAAGTTTTGAAACCATTTTTAATCACAAGTTTGTGCAAAGTTAGCAGTTATTTTCCAGATTCTCCCTGTTTTGTTTACGTAGTGATAATATCAAGTAAAATCAAAGATAAACAATAACATTAGCATGCTAACTTTTACGTTTGTCCCTAGATTATTTTTGCTGTATTTTATTCAACAAAAACATAAATAATTCATCGATATTTGACGTCATTTTAAGGGAAAATTATGAATATTAACGACTGAAAGAAGGTAAATCATCTTTAAACTGTTTATTTAATAGATTTTCCCACTTTTGTTAAACTGCGGACACAGAAATGCTTCTTCTATAAGAACAACGCTCCTGAAGGCAGGATGTTCTCAATCCAACATTAAAAAGATGTTTTTCAGACGTTATCGAGGCCTCAGGTGACACGACGTTCTTCAGGAAACGTTCCTGTAATGTAATATATTAATTAACGTTCTGTCTGTGATGTTCTTAAGATGTTTTGGTGATGTTGTTGAGGGAACCATTATAGAATCCATGAAACATTTCCACAATGTTCCATAACAGACGAAGAACGTTCTCAAACCAACATGCAAGAATTGTTCTCCAGATGTTGCCTCAGATGACACGATGAACGTTCTTCAGGAAACGTTCCTGTAATGTGATGTATTAATTAACGTTCTGTTTGTGATGTTCTTAAGATGTTTTGGTGATGTTGTTGGGGGAACCATTATAGAATCCATATAACATTTCCACAATGTTCCATAACAGAGGAAGAACTTTCTCAAACCTACATTCAAAAATTGTTCTCCAGATGTTGCCTCAAATGACATTCTTCAGGAAACGTTCCTGTAATGTGATATATTAACAAAGGTGGAACATTCTGACTGTGATGTTCTGAGGATGTTGTTGAGGGAACATATTATAGAACGTTCTTCCGTTATGTTATTGAGGCCTCAGATGGCACATCGTTGGTTGTAAGATGTTCCGGCACCAAAGGTGGAACATTCTGCTGATGTTTCGGTGATGTTTTTGAGGGAATAAACTACAGCATCTACAAAATGTTTCTACAATGTTGCATGATGACAAATGTTCTTGGTGCAACGTTCAGTTTTGAGAACGTTCGGTCTAACTATGTCGTCACCAAACATTTTTAGAACATCTTTAGTCATCCTGTCTCAAGAAGAAGAAGAACATTCAGGGAACTAAAAGAAAACTTCACTGAAATCATGAGTAGAACTTTGCAGAACTTTGCAGAACATTCTCCAAACGTTACCAGCTGCATGTTTGCTTCCCAGCGATGGCGTCCAAAGTGTGCACGGAGACGGGCGAGTGGGGTCGACACCCGGAGAGCAACCGGACGTGGACCAACTTCACCAACTGCAAAGCCAACGGTCCGCATCAGAGGACGGTAAGAAAACAGATGAAGCAGGAGAACGTCGTGGAAACGTCGGCCTGATCAAATGGTCAAATGGAGTTTGTTGTGTTTCGCAGCAGGCGGCGATGACTCACTTCTACCTGGTGATGATCGGCCACGGGCTGTCGCTGGTGTCGCTGCTCGTATCGCTCGGGATATTCTTCCACTTCAAGTACGGTTCCTTCACTTTATCTCGAAAATGGGAAAAAAATTGGCCAAAAAAAAAAAAAAAGTGGGGATATGACCTTTTATCGCACTTTTAAACGTAATTCACAAAACTTCCTCAAGTGCAAGAATGATTTTGAAGCTGCAAACATTCTTTTGATGAGTTGTGCTGATGTCACATTGTTGCTAATTACATCAACTCAGTATTGTTTGGAATATTTATTGATTTAAAAATAAATTAAAGGTGTACAATTGGCTCGAGAACTTGATCTAGAGTTCATCTGAAATGACGGGACAAAGTTAAGCTTGTGTGTTAGGAAACCTGTGAGCTGAATAAATACGATACAAAAGACAATTCAAGACAAAAAATAAATAACATTTAATAACCAGGTGTCACTTTTTAAAAAAAAAAATGTCTTCATTCTAATGATATTTAAGTTCATCTTTAACTTGGATAAAGTAGTTGGAACAAATATTATTTAAACAGCTATCGATTTAAAAAACTTTTGTTCATAATTTTGGTAATTAATTGAGTAAATCGAGTAGAAAACACTTTATTTTAAACAACACTAAAAGCTTGTGTTTGTAATTTAAGTAAAAAACTCATTCTTAACTATCATCAGCTCCTCCGGTTTAATATAGTTTGTTGGTTGAACATATTTCAGGAGAAGTTGTCAGAAGTTGTTTTCCAGCTGAGTGTACATATCTATAAAGCACAACATGATCTATTAATACTCATAAATCCACTTTTTGTACCTTTTACTCGTGTAGTTTCATTACCACCTGAATTCTAAAGTTTAATTTGGTTTCAAATCTGATTTAAAAGTGAAAATCTGTCTTTTTTTTCTTGTGCGTCTTCAGGAGTCTGAGCTGCCAGAGAATAACCCTCCACAAAAACCTCTTCCTGTCCTTCGTCCTGAACTCCGTCATCACCGTGGTCCGGCTGACCACGGTGGTGAAGAAACAGGGACACACCTACAACGAGTCGGTGAGTGACGCCCTGAGCTCGATCCGTCGCTGCGTTTCTCAGCGCTAACTCTTTGGTGCGTTTCCAGGGAAGCTGCAAGCTGCTCATGTTCATCCATCTGTACCTGCTGAGCTGCAACTACTTCTGGATGCTGTGTGAGGGCATCTACCTGCACACGCTCATCGTGGTGGCCGTGTTCGCGGAAAAGCAGCACCTCATGTGGTACTACCTGCTCGGCTGGGGTGAGTCGGCGTCCGCACAGGTGTTTGAACTCGAGCTCTTTGAGGCTCTGACACGCTGATGGTTTCACAGGTTTCCCACTCGTGCCGGCGGTGATCCACTCCATCGCTCGCCTCTGCTACTACAACGACAAGTGAGTGAGTTTTATCATCACCTCCTGAAGCAGGTCGGATGTTTCCATTCTGCTTAATGTGACTCGTGCCTTCACAGCTGCTGGGTGAGCTCGGCCACGTCGCTGCTCTACATCATCCACGGGCCGATCTGCGCTGCACTGGTGGTGAGAACTCAACTGCTTGGACCATCACTGACCTTCAGGTGTCCTCTAGTGGCACCAGCTTAAGGGACGAAAACAAACAGAAAGTTTAGAGTTCACAGGAGAGTTTTTGCATTTCCTTTCATCTAAATGTCTAAATTTTAAAAAAACGCAAAACAGGAATCATCTTCATGGAGCCTTTGGTGGCCCAGCTATCGTATTTTTTAACTCAAACCTTTACATAATAAAAATAAACTGACTGTTATCTTGTGAACAACAAACGTTGCTGAAACTTGGTTGGTAAAATTTTTAAAAATGAATGTTTTTTAAATATAATCTTATGAACAATTTACTGTTATTTTTGTTGAATTAAGAAAACATCTTCATAATTTTTTTTTTTTAAGTATTAATTTACATAAATCTATCATTTGTTCTTCTATTGTTCAGAATCAGAAACAGATTTATTGCCAGCAATTTGTTCAGGTGGGTTGGTGCAACAAAACAACAACAACAAGTACAGAGTAAACAATAAATATACAGCAAAATAAAGTAACTAGAAATAAAAAATAACTGTAATAGTCCAAAGAATCAAAGTTAAATTGAAATAAGAACCATAGACCAGTGGTGTTATGTACAGGAATATTAAGGGTGCTGATGTATTGATATTCACATTTATACAGATATAGAGGGGGCAGTGGAGGTCCTGGACATGGTTCATGAGGCTGGTGGTAGATGGAGAGAAACTGTTTTTGTGGCGTGAGGTTCTGGTTCTGATGGACCGAAGCCTCCTGCCAGAGGGGTGTGATTGGAAGAGTTTGTGTCTCAGAGTCCTGGAGGCGTGCAGGTCCTGGAGAGAAGGCAGATTGCAGCCAATCACGTTCTGGATGATATGCTGCAGTCTGGCCTCATCCTTGGCTGTAGCTGCAGCTAACAGATGGTGGTGGAGGAGGTGAGGATGGACTCCATGATGGAGCTGTAGAAGTGCTCCATCATCGTTGTTGGCTGCCGCAGGAAGTCCATCCTCTGTTGGGCTTTGTTGATGAGAGAGCTGATGTTGAGCTCCCACTTGAGGTCCTGGGTGATGATGGAAGCGGAAAGACTCCACCAGGGTCCACTGGGCAGCCTCTCAGGGGGATGGAGGGGAGTTGTTCCTCCTGAAGTCCACCATCATCTCCACTGTCTTTAGAGTGTTGAGCTCCTGCACCAGGACACCGGCTGCTCTGTGTCCCTTCTGTAGCCCAATGAGGGTCGTGTCGTCCATGAACTTCAAGAGTTTGACAGACTGGTGGCTGGAGGTGCAGCTGTTTGTGTACGGGGGGAGAACAGGGCTGTAAAATGACTCTATATTTATTATATTTTAATTAAAAAAATTATATGCAGACATTTGCTGTCATTTGAAAGAAACTAATGGATATTTAGGATTGAAAAATGTAATTCTTTTAATGTTATTCTCTGGATTTTTCCCACTTTGTTAAATTATAGAATTGACATGTTTAAAAAAAAGAGACCAAAACTGGGAATAATGTCCACAGATTGTCTTTAATTGTATCACGTCATTTGAAAATAAAATAAAATAATATAGAAACATATATTAAAACTTGTACATTATTTTTTAAAAATAGCAAAATTGATACTTTACAGGTAAATTCTAAATTACACAGATTTAGTGTATTTGAATCCACTAAAAGTATTTTCACAGTTTTTACTCATTTTTAAACATTACAGAATTAAACAAATTATAAAACAACATTTTATGGCTCCCTTGCTGCCACATTGTCACAAATCTTTGAACCAGAATCATGACTAGTCTGAGTTAAACTGTCAATGTGTGAATTATAACTGGTCATAATTCAGCTGCAGATATGTGATCACATCATTATGCAGAATGTGACAAAGCTAATTATTTACTTGAACGATGTGTTGGTTTTATTTTGTCATTCATTCAATTTAAATCATATGAATCACTGTGGAAATGACAGATCTGGACAGCAGCTGAATCAACCTTTCCTATTCTTTTAATTGGCTGTCGTGTTTCTTGGGTTTCTGGCCTCCAGGTGAACCTCTTCTTCCTGCTGAACATCGTCCGGGTTCTCATCACTAAGCTGCGAGTGACCCACCAGGCCGAGTCGAGCCTCTACATGAGGGCGGTCCGGGCCACCCTCATCCTCATCCCGCTGCTCGGCATCCAGTTCGTCCTGCTGCCCTACAAGCCCCACGAGCACTGGGTGTCCGAGATCTACCTGTACATCATGGACATCCTCATGCACTACCAGGTCAGCTCAGCCAGACGCACCGTCAGCACGTAGGACTCCTGCATGGGGCAATAACTGCAGCTTTCAATGCTGAGAGGATTTTTCTAAATTAACTTTTTTTTTTGCACTCAGGGTCTCCTGGTTTCTACAATATTCTGCTTCTTCAACGGGGAGGTGAGTTTGATTCTGCAACGATAGAACTTTGACTGTGATTGTGTGTGTTGTACATAAAAGAAAACTGAGCCAATCAGCAGTGGACATGCTAATTATTTAGCACTTGTCTTTATAGCATGCTAACGCTAGCTTTACATTACGATAAAGACTCGAAATAGGGAAGCAGCTTGCGAGGCAAAATCAGCTTAGCACTCTAGTTGTTTTCCCATTTCCATTCTTTATGCTAATGTTAAGCTAACTAGCTAGCATTAGCTGGATACATGTTAGCCAAACAAAAACAGCCTACTGGCACTTCTGAAGCTCACTAATTAACATTTTATATCTTACTTGTTTTTATCTGTTTATTTAGATTTTGTTAACTTTGAAAAGAGTAGCTGTTTCACTGCGTTAGTGTTGCATGCTAATGGTAAGCTAACTTGCTAGGCTAACCCTGCTGATTCCAGCTTCCTGCTGATGGTACAGACCCAAGTTTGGTATCAATCTTCTTGTCTGACGCTCAGCAAAAAAGCAAATAAGAATATTTTCCAAACTTTTCAAAAATATGATTTGTGGTTTTGTGACACATATTATCAATAATAAACAAATTTGTGTTGCTATTAGCATGGGCTAAGCTAGCACATGGATATTGGCTTGTTGTATAAATATTTGTTCTGTTGGGAGCCCTTTGGTTAAACTGCCTTGTTTCTGTATAGATGCCAGTGACTCGATTAGACTCGACTTTAAACCACGTGTCTGCGTCTCCTCCTTCAGGTCCAGACCGTTCTTCGGAGACACTGGAATCTACAGCGGATGCAGTTCGCCGGCACGTTCGCCAACGCCGACTTCTTCCGCTCGGCCTCCTACGTGGCGTCGTCGCTCACCGAGGTGCACCGCTGCTACAGCATCGAGAGCCACACCGAGCACATGAGCAGCAAGAGCTACTCGGACATATTCAGGTCGGAGAGCCCCTTTGTGTGAGGGCGGCCGACGACGTTCCTGTTTTCTTCTACGAAGATTGATCTTGGAGTTAAGTTTTGTTTTTGCTTTTTTTCATCTCCCAGGCACAAAAAGAAAGAAAAAAAAATCATATTTTACTTTTCTGACAAATCAATAGAGAGAAAAGTGAGACCAAAGACTGTTTTTCCATCATTACCTACACTGCAGATCTGTTCAGATGGGCTGTTGTCAGACACGAGGATGACACCGAGAATCAAACAGCTTCAAAATATATCAATCATACAAGGAATTCATTCTTTTTGCATCGTATGGATACAACCTGAACGTCCTCGATAGTCAAGGAGCAGCTCTGCTGAGCTGACAAAGACACAAGTTATCACTTTTTCATGGCAGTTCAAGAATATTGATGCAAAGTTCAGAAAGTTTGGCCAAAGTGGGAACGTGAACCTGTGATGCTGTAAACGGGAGGCTGAAATATTCTCCCTGATTAATGCAAATTTCACCAATCAGAGCAGAATGAAGAAGGAATCGACAGAAGTTTAGAAATAAAGGCTTTGCAGCAGCTTTGGTGACAAGTTAAGTGCCATAATTTAAGCAATTAAAAATCAGTAGTACACATGTAAACGACCACAAAAGTAAAAATTTAATTGCAGTTCACACTTAATTTACTTTAACAAAGCCATTTCTGCTTCAGCTATTTTTGAATGAAAGGTATGCATCATGGGCCTGAACCCCGTCTTGACGTAAATTTTCTATTTATGTGTCATTTCCTCTCCTCTAAGGTCAACAAATAATGAGATTCACAGCATAACTTTGTCAGACATATAAGCTTACATTGTCCGACTCTTTTAAGTTAATGTTTTTTTTCACTTCTGATTATTCCAAAATGCTGGAGAGACGATGGTGAGAGGAAAAAGTGTTTGTACATATATGTGATTGTGTAAGAATAAGACATATAGTCAGGCAAATAGTATGAGTTTGTACATTGCATTTAGACTGCTACTCGTGTACTTTGCATTGTTTTCCAGTCAGTTAAGAACACACCATAGTGTTGCATTGCTCACAGCTGGTTTTATCACAGCATAGCGCATAAAAATGTCACATTATTACATTTTCAGATTACTTTTAAGATTTCTGTGTCCAGGTAACAAAGTCAGACTTACACTGAAGAATTATGTTATCGTTAACACGTATTAATGTTCAACCTGTTAATTAAGAGCTGCTGGTTTCGGCCTTCAATAACAGGAATGATACGTAAAAATCCTCTGTAATATGAACTCACTCAGCCAACAGTGTAGGAGCAAGAAATGCTTAACGTAGCTTAGCATTAAAACTGAAAATGGGAACTTTAATCCAAGGGTCAAAAAAAACACAAATGTGTGGTTTAATGTTTTAACTGTGGAAAAAGCAAGCCAAAATGGTTTAAAATTCAAAATACATGTACAGCACTGAACCCTAAGTTAAAAATGTAAGATTAATTTCTTTAAAAAATGTAATGTAGCATAAATCTATAATCGTTACAGTAATTTCTATGCAGATTTTTAGTGATAGAATAAGCACTCTTGTTATCGCGGGCATTTTGCTATCAAAGTACCAATAAATATAGCTTAGGATGCTCAGTAGTGGGCTACGTTAAGAGCTGCAAAGTCTGATTAGTAGCATTCATTTCTTAAAGTAATAGTTTGGTTTTGGAAAAAAAATAGTTGCTTTTTTGCGCAGAGTGAAATGAAAAGATTAATACCACTCCTCTGCTGGTACGCTAAATATTAAGCTACATACAGCCAATTAAAGTTACGCTAACTAGCTGGTTAGCTTTTTATTAGCATGAAGACAAACAAGCAGTTTATCAGAAGTAACACGATATCTCATTTGCTTGCTTTGGACAGAGCCATGCTAGCTGTGTCACAATCTATGCTTTCCTGCTACCACATTTGGTTAGCTTTAAGTTAGCATGAAGATTGGAAACAGGAGTACAACTAGCCACAAAAAAATCCTGGCGCAGAAGCAGCCTATCAGCACTTATAAAAGCTCATTAATTAACACAGATTGTGTTAACTTTGAAGAGCCATCAGCTAATGTTAGCTGGTTAGCTTCAGGCTAGGAATAAAACTTAATATGGGCAGCTAGCCAAGCAAGCCTAGCACACTAGCTATGTCCCCATTTCCATTCATTATGTTAATATTTTGTTGACTTTGGACGGAGTCATGCTAGTTGTAGCACTGTTTCAGTTTTGTCTGCTAATGTTAGCTAACTAGCAAAGCTAACCCTGCTAATTCTAGCTTCCTACTGATCCAACAGACTTGAGCTTGGTATCAATCTTCTTGTCTAACTTTCAACAAGAAAGCAGCTAAAATATTTTCCAAAAATCTGTTTTGTGGCAATCTTTTTGTAAAGAAAACTCTTTATAAAGACGGATATAGCTTTTTCAATGCACATAATATCAATAAAGGAAGGTTTGTGTTTCTATTAGCATGTGCTAAGCTAGGACAGAGACACCAGAGTGGACCTTGGTGATGAAATGTTGCACCCTAGTGGCCTAATTGCTACCATTTTCTGACACTTTTGACTGTTTTCCTTCTTAATTTTAAACAACAAATTATGTTGAAGAAACTTCATTTTTCAAAGAAGGCTTTGGGAAACGCTTAAAAATGATGAGGAGAACCTTGAGTTAGGTAAAAGTCTGAATTTCATTGTTGTTTTTGTAACATAGCGCTTGTTTATCCTGAAGTAATAATGCTGTAAATAAAAACAAGCTGTTTAAAACTGGGATTCCTTTGTGTTTCAGTGCCTTTCAGTTTCCCAACTTCCGTTTCATTTCCCTCAGAGACACATTGAAGAAAATCTCTAAGTATTCTCCTTCCCGCTTTTTTAATTAAGGGCGGGATTTCCTCGTCTGACCTTAGAAACCGTTTCCCACTGAAATGAATATTGTTTCCAGACAAAGCCGGGCGTGTTGCTGTCTGCTCAACAGGTACAATTAGGAAGTCCCAGAGGAAGAGCGCCATATCTATCCTTTCAGTGCATCATTCATCACGTTCACGAGCCGTGAAAGACGTGTGATCGAAAGCATGTGTGCGAGATCTTTACGATCGACTCGCATGCCTGTCGTCGCCATGGCCACCATACGCTGAGGAGTCTGTTGGACGGTGTTATCAGTAATCACAGATCTCCTCTTGTCTTTTTTTTACAGCACATGCTTAACCTGCTGCATCAACACGACAGATTCTGGGCGTTTACGATGCTTCCCTTAAAGACAAAGCAGCGAACAGAACACGTGAAGGCGCTGATGTTGTTTACCGACAGCAGCACCTCCCTGTGTTTACCTCAGTGGAAATCGGAGCGCTGGATGTATTGCAGGCATCCTGTTTCTAAGAATACATTGCCATTGAACTCTTGATCCGTCAGCTCTTGTGTGCTGGTAGCAAACACTTCCTCAGCCTCATGACTAACACTTGTTTACTGCCTTCACTTCCGCATGCTTCCACGGCAGCGTGAAGCGTTTAGCCGATGTTTGGCGTCCAGAGTACGGGTCGGTAGCAGTTCTGTGAATTTGTCAAGGACATTTCCACAGGACGCGACTGAACACATGTTCTCCGACAATCCTGCAGCTGTAGCGACGCGTAAATCTGCTGCATATTGTCGTCCCCACATTTAGATTTAATCTGATGAAGGTGATGCACTTTATTGGACTTCACATGGTCCCAACACGGCTGCAAAACCAGAATTGTAAGAAAAATGGAACCAAATCTAAGCGTAAAATCATGATATTTCATTAAAAATTGAAAAGACTGCCCAAAATAAAACATTTCCAATCCTCACAATCTGCAATAAACTAAGAATTCTGCACTCTTTGGCGCAACCAAACGGACTCAGGTGCAACCAAGAGTCAAAAATAACAAAACTTCAGACAGTTTTTGGGTTAAACAGTGTTTCCACAGAGCAGTGACGATACAACGAGAGACACTGAGAGGAAAGTCAAGAAAATAAATGCAGCATGGCTCAAAAACAGTGAACAGAGGAGCCGGTCTGCAGGTAGATACATGCAGCACAGTGAAATGTGTTTCTACAGCTGATGAGCAGAGTGACGTAAAAAAGTTTGTAAAGGCTGCAAAACTGTAAATAGTAAATCTGTAGTTTATGGGACAACATTTTGGTACTTTGTAAAATCTGTTGATTCCATTTTTTGCCAAATAAATGATCAAAATAAATTAATCTTTTAAATTTAGTCATTCTGCACCAAAGACGTTTGAGTTCTCAAAAAGAACTGCATTATCAATATTAATAAAGTAAATATTTACCTAACAAACTGGATCTTTGAATCCCTTATTTTTACTTATCTCAGAAGTCGGAGCTGGGAACAACTTCACATCTGAGCTGTGTTTCACTGAGAGTTAGCTGATGTTCCTGGAAGTTCTTCCATCTTTGTGAAGTCTCACCGTCACTTCTTCAGTTCTTTTCCACGTGGAGCCATGATGCAGACCGAGGCCACGTTTACACAAAAACAGATCTACGTTTTCAAAAATAACATTTTTCACACCAGATTGTTTAAAAAAAAATCGTCTTTTACGCAAACCCACATGAACTCATCGTTAACTGCTGCTGTGAGCATGCCAGACCTGTAGGGGGCAGTGTAACGAGAAGCGTAAAGCCATGCTAGCCAATCAGAATCCAGGAAAAAACACAACAACTGCTGACCTCCTTCTCCTCTGCTCCTCCACACGATAGAACATTTCTGAATGTAAATGCAAACAGGCCAAAAGCGTTTACACAACCGTAAAAACCAGCGCTGCTTT